AGCTCTTGTTAGGCAGTAAATCTTCACATTTGAATTTAATTGGATAGTTGATACTATTGCAACTTGAATTTGGTACCTGAACTAACCTAAGGTTGAAAATTGAGGTCATAGCCATAGCTATTTAGCCACTTGGCTGAGTTTATTAATAGTATTTTTTTAATTTCTACATAATTTACACAAGTTTTTAATGACAATGTACTTCTTCTTAAGGTTACAAACTTAGAAAGTTGTGAGTTACTAATTTGGATACTAAATTGTTGATGATTATTGTCCATAATCACATTTATTTTTCCTCAGTTTTTCAGTTAATTTGTTATATTTAAGTAATTCGATACGAATCTAAAAATTTGTATTATGGGATTCAAGAAAATATGAAAATAAAGTTCAATAAGAGCAAACTCACACTACAAGAAAACACTTCAATTCCAACGAAAAATTCCAACGGCAAAAATTTCCATTGGAAATTCCAATGAATATTCCAACAAACTTAATTTTATGTTGGAAAAAGTGTTGGATGATTGAGGAATTCCAACGGATTTTTTCCGTTGGAATAGCTGTAGGAATTTATTTCCATAGGAATTTCCGTTGGATTTTAGCTATTCCAACGGCCGTTTTTCCCACGAATTTTTGTACGTAGGAATATCCGTTGGAATATCTATTCCAACGGATATATAAAGAATTCCAACGGAAAATTTCCGTTGGAATGTAAGAGGTTTTTTTGTAGTGTCATAAGAATCAAGAAAAAAATAAAAAAGATAGGACTACTGTTCGACATGTCTAAGAACTAGACAGTAATCATTTTTTTATTAAAGTACGTACTTACATACACAAGTGATATACTTTGGAAATAACATACAAAGCATAATATTTCATAGTATAAGTATGTATTTTTTTTCAGAAAGTATGACTGGCCGATCTACCTAATCATTAGACTGTCCCATACCTTATAAAAATGGCATTTCCTATAATCGAAGTCGACTAACTTGATCTTGTGCAATCTGCAGTCGATTACGTTTAATTGGGTTAACGACGCCACGATTACTGGGTTAACCTCGATTAATAGCCAGCTAATGCACCTTGTGATCAATAGCTGCAAGAACGTGAAGGTGAGTAATGTGAAGATCATAGCTCCAAACCTAAGCCCTAACACAGATGGGATTCATGTGCAGTCCTCAACTGGGGTTACCATTACCAATACCATGATTAAAACAGGGGATGATTGTATATCAATTGGGCCTGGCACAAGGAACTTGTGGATGGACCAAATACAATGTGGCCCAGGACATGGAATTAGGTAACCTACTATTTTTAATTTGTTTAACTAAGTACTAAAAATCATTTTTTTTTTCCTTATGAATGTGTGAATAAATAAAATAAATAAAAAATTTTATAGTATTGGGAGTTTGGGCCGAGATTTCAACGAGGATGGTGTTGAGAATGTGACGTTGGTAAACTCGGTTTTCACTGGGTCAGATAATGGGCTGAGGATCAAAACATGGGCCAGGCCCAGCATAGGGTTTGTGAGAAATATCAATTATCGGAACATTGTTATGAACAACGTTGAGAACCCAATTATTATAGACCAAAATTATTGCCCCAACAACCAAGGCTGTCCTCTACAGGTAACTAGAATATTACGGCTATGTTTGGTGATCAAATAAACTAAGTTATAATTTATTTGGTTAGCTTATAAGTTTCTTGTATTTAAATAAGAGCAGTTTGATTGGATAAAAAAACTCGAGTTTATTTCATAAGTTTCTTTATGTATCTTTTAAAATAAGCTCGTTGAAATTTTTATTTCAGCTAGTTTATCAGCTAATATTACAAAACACTTTAATTATATAAGCTAGTTTTTCAACTATGAGTCATAAGTTATAAGCTCAAAAATTACTTGTAAGCTAAATGGAATACATTTGAAGCGAGTATACTTATATGTTTGGTAAAACTAGCTTATAACTTATGACTTATAACTGAAAAAACTAGTTCATATGATAAAAGTGTTTGTTAAATTAACTGATAAAACATACCCAAAGAAGCTTATGAAATAAGCTCGAACTTTTTAAAAGAGCTCGTCCTATTAATTGAAGTTTATTTAAATATAGAAAGCTTATAAGCTAATCAAATAAGTTATAAGCTAACTTATTTATTTACAAAACATAGTTGTTAATTTCTCATATTATTTTCTCTTTGATGACTCTCAAGACAATTATGTTAATTTATTTTTACCCTAATTGATATTGGCAGAGTTCTGGAATAAAGATTAGTGAAGTGACATACCAAAATATTAGAGGAACTTCAGCAACACAGGTTGCCATGGCTTTTGATTGTAGCCCCACCAGCCCATGCACAGGCATCAAACTGAGTGACATAAAAATCACATTTTTGAGCTCAAGAAAGGCACAATCCTTCTGCAAAAACATAGGCGGGACTACCGGTGGTGTGATCATGCCCGAAAATTGTTTGTAAAGAGAGAAAAAAAAAAACGACGATAAACGAAGTCGTTTTCTACACTTAAAGAAAAAACAAATAAAAAAATGAAGGTGTTAAATGTATCTACCCAAAATTAGAAGAGTTTTTGATTTCTTAATGGTTGGCTAGTGATGAAGATCAGCTCCAACATGGAAGGACACACAGTATAATTGCATGTAAACCCCTGTAATTCTACTGTTTTGAATGGTGGAGTTAGTATCTTTGGTTTAATACGTCTTATAACAAATATACATTTTTTCTTGTGCTAATATTGAGTCCATTTCTACAAACACTGTAATTCTATGTCCTTGATGTTGAAACAGAAAAAATATATTCCCTATTTGTTTAGATTAAAAAAAATAAAAATCGTAATCAGACGATGCGTGATCATACATGCATCCTCGCTTAACATATTTCGAATCTAGGTATGTGCTAACTTTAACCTCATCTCAAATGTGCCGGCCTCTGATGCAAACTGCCTTCATTCCTTCTAGAAAGGTTACTTCCCAGGTCTATACGGAGGGAGTTCCCTGAGAAACAGTGGCGCACGTGTACCCGGTGAGTTTTCAAGTCGGTCGAGCAGCTGCCTCTCACGATGACTAACAAGATGAGTTCCTTGTCTCGGGTGTCCTCTGACCACCAGCTCTGAGGGATTCCCTCCACAAACTCTTCAAGCTTGTGGGATTCCTCGTGATGTATGGATATGTCTGCCACTTGATCCGGTCTGATCAAGCCGGCTGCAGGCGTCACCTGTTTGGCAGCTCAAAAATGTCACATTTCAAGCACACGAATTTTTTTTTTTTTAAAAAAAAAGAAGTAATCAGGATCAAGAATGATGTCACATATAATGTCAATAGAAAATTGTAATTTCAGTCCTGTATGTTTCACTACCCTGACTTTTCCGGTGTTTTCTTTTTTATTTTCGTCTCATGTGTTTGCAAAAAGGTTAGAAAAAGGTTTTTTTTCGCAACAGAAAGGTCTTTTATGTTTTGCAAAAAATATTCCAATTTCGTCCCTTATGTATACTCGGGGACTTTTTTCTAACCTTTTTGTAAACGTAAGGGACGACAATCAAAAAAAGCAACTCGAAGTGGACGAAAAAGTTAGGGTAGTGAAATATACAGGACTGAAATTGCAATTTACTCTTTAAAAAAAGAGTGTAATTGACTCAGATGACAGAATCAATTTGGCTATGCATAGCAGTTCTGTAAAGTAAGAGACTAAGAGACAAATAACACTTGCAATTCAATTATCGATATGCTCTGGGCATGCAAGTGTCATGTTCACTGTACAATGCGAGATGCAATGCACAATCGCGAAGGAACACAAAAATGGGTATACAAAACTACCTCAAGCCAACGTGGGAAACCATAGGAAGCTCTTGGCCGGTAGTCGATCTCTGCTTCATTCTCCTTGATGGTGGATTGGCCCTCGCATATAATTTGGTAAAAGACCATCTCCTCCCCACTCCGGTTGGTTAGTTTCAAGTTGAATGTGTCTTGGTTCTGAAGGGATATTCTGTTCGCGCTAACGATTGTCTCGGGCACAAAGCGTAAAGCTTCGAGATTCGATCTGATTGCATCATTCGTGTGAATAATTTTCCCGAATTCCAGCCTCCTCACGGATTTATCCACATGCGCAATGTCCACATTCAACTTGCACCGTACTGGTTTGTGATCACTTTCAGTGACATCCATGCAGGCCTCATAACTTAAATAATATGATTTATGAAATAAGAAAAATATAAGGTGCAGATTGACAAATGTTCAAAGACCAAGGCCTACTATAAAGATAAGGTGCAGATTTTCGAAATAAGGCTGAAATATAACAACAGTTATATATTATACTGAAATCAATAACATACTGGTAAATGGAGGAAACCACTGGGCATTCCAAACTGCATTCTTTTGTTGGGTCTGTCCTATTATCTCTATATAGGACTCTGTCACACCAAGCTGGGATTCTTTTCTTCTCACCCGAATCATAACCTATTCAAAATTAAAAGTACATATATAATCCGGGATAGAACAATTGCCATTGAGGAAAAACTCTACAATATTTCCATTATTTTCTGATATAGTGACAACATGGTATTACCTCCTAAACCAGGTTTGCCTTTCTCAAACTTGTAAGTGGGAGGAAATCTGATGATGGCCTCCCGCATTCCTTGGAAAACTTTACCCGCTTTCATTTCTGCTCTCAGCTGATCTTTCTCTCGAAGCCAGTCGAAGCTTCTTTGAGAGACCAAGTCCCTTGATTCATCATAAGTTATGCCAAACAGACGATAATTGAAATCACCGGTGAAAATGACCAAATCGGATTCGGAAAGATCAGGCCTCCCTTCATCAGGATTAGCTCCCGAAGCCTGTTTTAGTTAAATGAAAACCATTACTTTGACCTCAAGTGGGAGAAGCCCCTAGTTAAGGAAAAAAACACTGTCATCATTAGAGTACATAATATCCTCTTGAGGTTTTGTATTTGTGCTACAAATAACCCGAAAATGTGAACATATGAAATACGAATATATCTCAAGAGAATTACAATGATAAGAGGGAAAATTTGGTTTCATTTTAAGGGTGAAGTACACTGAGCACCCTACAGTATTGGGGGACGGTTGGGTTGTACTATCTATCATGTAAGGATGCATGTCATGAACAGTAGACACAACACAGGGTAAAGTGAAACCCAAAATAAATAACAGTTTAATAGGCAAATTACAAAAGAAAATCCAATGTTTCAAGGGGTTTAGTGTAATTTTTCCAAAAGCAAATAGTCTGCCTCAAGTGTAACTTTTATAATTTACCGAAGAGAATATGCTAATTCAATTGAATTTCAGTTATTCATACATTTCCACCGCGAGGCATCTGATTGCCTGATGAAGCACCAGCTGTGAAAGAGGGGAATGAGATCCATGGTGAGCCATTATAATGAATAATTCAAAATAAGCATATGGAGGATAACAAGCAGTCGAGAATAAGCAGCTTACCACCAGCGTTGTGAAACAAACTTGATGACCGAGTGAAAGTCATTGTTCGAAATATATGTTCGAAATCGGCGTTTCGACGGTTAACAGCTTCCAAATGTGCAGCAAAATGGCAATTTACAAAACACATGGTTCGATCATATACTCTCAACCTTAAACCTACACCTCCCTGCAAGATATTAAGCCAGCAGTAAATTTTGGCCATGCTTGATTAGCCTAAAGCACAAGGAAAGACTTCCATATAAACATAGTTGTAGAAACATACTAAACTCAAGCCGGAAATGCAACATATTGTTACCTTATTACCAATTGCACGACCTAAGCCACATGCTACGGCTGCAACATCTAAATCCCCAACATGTTTCCTAATACTTTTCCTCACCCTGAAAGAAGGATTATCGACGAAATATCCTTTAACAATGAACAAGCAAGATAAAACCTTGACCTCGTGAGATATGTTAATGTCATGAAGTGTCCCAATGTATAAGACTTTATGACTGTAATAGTAGATAAAGTGTTATTCCATACCAAATCGCTATAAGCAAAGCAGCCAGCTGCCGGGCACCTACACGCTCGAAACTAGATCTTTCATCCAAGGCCTTGCCAATGTGATCCTGCCACCATTGTCCCACAGAACTTCCTTCTAGTCCTACCTAAAATAAAATACAAGACATGCACTCTCAAATGGTAGGATACAGAAACTTGAAAATACTTATGATCATAATCAAGATTACTGAATAAGTATACTCAAGCAATGCAATAAGAAAACAAAACGTCGGTCTAATGCTGAACAAACTGCATTCTCAAAATAAGTTTTCTTTTGCTAATTGTTAAAGGATAGTTACAAGTACTTTCCTTGACATATTTCCATTTTGCTAATTGTTAAAGGATAGTTACAAGTACTTTCCTTGACATATTTCCATTTTACTATTTCGGAAAGGATATTCGTAATTTTAAAAGATAAACTCATTAACTTAGACCCCATTGTGTTTCTAATCATCCCCATTTGCTATAAATAATAAAAATAATAATAATAATAATAATAATAATATTATTATTATAATAATAATAATAATAATAATAATAATAATAATAATAATAATAATAATAATAATAATAAATGATAATGATAATGATAATGATAATGATAATAATAATAACAATAATAATACTAATAATAATAATAATAATAATAATAATAATTAAGGTAATTCACAGGCTTACAGTTTCTTTTGCTGCTGACATCGCAAGGAAACCTGCACCCATCTCAACCTCTTGCAGCCCAACCACCACGATATCAACATCCGACACTGCCGAACCCAACCACGACATGAGCGCACCATGCGATGCCCGCCCCTGTCCTACATTCCACGTCCCG